TCCACAGAAACGTGTGGTTTCTTTCGTGGAAATTGTAGAAAATGAAAATATTAATATAATTATTTCCGAGGACATTTTGAAATTAACGTTATAATCACTTTTCACGAGAATTATCTTATAAATTACATTTATACCGGTAATATCAGCTGGCCTGTTTCGTGTTTTGCATTTTTAACGAAATTGTGGAATTCAGCGAGCACGGGAACATAAGAATACGAATTTTTATGAAAATCGTGTGAAATTCTGAAATTCGGCCAGCTTTTCAAGAACCGGCGCGGCGCCGCCGTGGGATGCGACGCGTTACACGTATCTACGTATTTTGTTTAATAACGTTTTCATAAGCTTTTCGAGGGTGATGCGGCCCGGACAGTGTCTGTCCCAATTTCCGTGCCTCGTTGCGTCCGTATAAATAGACCGCGCTTGAGCCCGAGTGCGTGGAACTGGCAAGATCAGTTTCGTTTAATTAATTATTCAATTATAGCAGAATCGCGTTTCGCTGTGTTCCTGTGAAGAACAAGGAGTGTGTTGAATTTCTCCGACACTCGTGCAGTTTTCCCTTTGCTTCCCTCCTCTGCTAATGTTACTGTATGCATGCATCAACACTCAAGTTCCGTGAAACCTGCTTCTGTTTCAGTTTACCTCCACATCGCCGACATTCTCAGTTTGTTGCGTGGCGTCAATCCCCGGTATCAGTTTAATTTTTTGTTCGATATCATTATCATTATTCGTTGGAAAGTATGTTGATTATAAAAATTAACAAATGGGAAGGAGAGATAAATTTTCCATATCCGTGTTGTTGAAAGAGCTGAATCTTTTTTTCAGTAACAAAATCTTGATCTGCAGTTTTTAGCTTTATCAAAGTTTTATGTATTCTTCTTAACTTTTCTTTTTGTTCTATAAAGATCTATTTATTGTACAAATGTTAGTAAATTCTTTCGACCTTCGTCCCAACTTCCAGCCATACTCTAACGATCAACCAAAATAGAAGTCTAACTGTTGTACCGATACAAATTGCTGTTGATATTAATTTGCAAATACTGTATATACATTGCAACATGTATCATGATATCTATTTGTCCATGCAGGCACCGCAACATATTTCGACGCGTCTACAGTATACGGGACTTCGGAGCAATGAATCTCCATGATTCACGCATCATAGATTATTTCAGAATGGAAGATCGTATTTGCTTGCTTAAAAATTGTTGACGATCAGCAGTTACTTTTATTATTCATGGTAAATTATTTCTGACCACCTCCTTCCCTTTACGTTGATCCTTACCCACTACGAACATTTACTACGAATGTATAAATATCACAGAACGATTCTTCAAAAATATCTGAACTGCTGTAAAGCGTTAAAGAATTTACTGAAATTATCTGGAAAATTATTAACTGGAAAATTATCTGCGTCCTACAAAACTGACTAAAATCTGTCTGTTCAAATATATTATTATTAACGCGAGAGCCAAATATATTACCATTAACGTTAGTATTCTGCGAATGATACAATCTTTCAATCGATAGCGTAATTATGGTACACTTTTTTAATAGTGCAATTATGATATACTTAATTAATAATATAAACAAGATAAATTTTGATAATAACATCGACACGATCTTTATAAAAAAAGAAACTGCGCTGAATCGATTTTTATAATTAAAATTTTCGCGGAGGCACGTGTACGTGACTCTAACCGTCAATGTGTTAACGCAAATATACATAGTGCTCGCTGCGATAAGTATAAAAAAACAGTTTATCCGGTATATTGTTTCATCGTGTGAAATACAAGGAGAACATTATGTAAATATGTTGTTCTTTATCTTCATGAAGTATTTAATAAAGAAATTGTTTGCCCCTTATTACATCGATTATTTACCTACTGTAAATTTGATAATTAAGTCGGAAAAAACGGGAGTATGAGCGTCACCATGTTAATTAGACTCGAGAAGCAAGGCTCCATCACGAAAACGTCGCGTTTCCGGTTTCCCTCGAGCTAACGAAAGGTTCTACATTTAATCGGAGTTTCTTTTCGGAGCTCGATTTGTTTCTATCGATCGAGGCAGGATTAAATGAAACGTCGATCGCAAATCACACCAAGATCGTGAAAGAGCGCAGGAATGGAAGAAGAAGAGGAGAAGGGAGACAAAAGCTGTGAGAAAAGGTGAGATGTATATAGAGAGTAGCAGAGACAGTAGGCGAGAAGTGTAGAGAAAAGAGTAGAAAGAGAAGGAGAGAAGTATAGACAGAAAAGTAGAGAGAGAGAAGGAGAGAAGTATGCAGAGAAAGATAGAGAGAGAAGGAGAGAAGTATGCAGAGAAAAGTACGGAGAGAGAAGGAGACAGAGGGAGAGAGGGAGAGAGAGAGAGAGAGAGAAAGCGATAGTGAGAGGGAGAGGGAGAAAAAGAAAGAGAGAGGGAGAGGGAGAGAGATAAGCAGCACGATCGACGCATATTACGTTCCAGGTTTGACGAGTTGGGATAAGCAGAGCTTGGTGACTGGCGATCACCGATCACGGATCGTCGCTATTAAATTTCCATTGTCCGCGATGCTGTCGATACTTCTGCGTTACTATGGCCGGCGTATGTATTCGCGCTTCGGCCCCCGTCCCTCTAGAATTTGTAAAGCATAAATTTACTTTGATCTGTGGCCGATTCCGGCGTTCCTCGGACGCGTCGAGCCTGTCTGCCAACCCCCGGCCACCCTCCGGCCACCCCCGGGGGCTTCGGTCCTCTGAATCAACAGCCCGTCGCAACCCCGTTCCTATGGCCAATACCGTTATACGACCAATCACGAGGGACAGAGCAATTCGTTCGGCAAATTAGGTTAAATCTGAATCTTGGTGGTCTCGTTTCCCTGCGGGCTCTTCCCATCGATTATCCGGGGGCCGCGGGAGAAAAGAAAGGGACAAAGGGCTGGGGCCGGCTTGAATGGGAGCGGCGCGTGTCCGGCCGGAACGGAAAATGAAAGACGAATGGCGGATTATGAAAAATTATTTCGGATCGGTGAGCGACTCGATGGCTCTCTTGCTCGCGCCTCTGGTTATTAACCCTTAATTGCTACGCTTATTAAAACCTACGTGACCACCGTTAGCGTACTCGCCGATGTTTATAACTTACTTTTCTATAAATGGAACCGCGTACGTGTTGCGATCGATTAAACACGCAACTTTTGTTTTGAGAATGCTTCGCGATAATAATTGTGGTCCGCGGCATATTAATTTTCTCGCTGTCAAAACCGGAAGTTCCTCTTAATAGCCGGCAGATCTCGACCGGTTTGTTCGCCGTAATTTAAACTCCAGCATGGGACGATTTGTTAACACGCGCGGGCGTGTTTGTTCAACGCGTTTACTGTAACCCGGGTGTATGCGCACCGACCCTCGCGTTTGTTCGGTCACGTTTCTTTTACCTTATTCGAAGTTCGTCAAAACTTTTCGGGAATATCTTCTTTCCATCGGTCCGGGCAACAGTGGAATCGTTGATTGGCAATCGCGATCCGGATAGTGTACTTCATCGTTGCCGGATAGAAAAATATTTTCTTATTAAAAATAGAGATTCTTCCTCATTTTACTTTAAAATGTAATTTCTTCGTGATAAAGGGATTGGAGATGTTTATGTAAATTCGAATTTCCGTGGGCGATTTATGAAAAAAGGAATTCTACCGGAACTCGCAGAATGAAATATGTATGAAACTTGACAAATTATTGTGCTTTGCATATGGACACGCGCTATAAATTCATAAAATCCGCAATTTCGTAATACATAAAAGTACTGGCGAGTGTAGAATAATAATTCTTTTCGCCTTGAACGGGTCGAAGGTCGAATAAGCATTCGATCCAATTATTGTTATTTTATATCAGCATTTCAGAATTATGTTATACAAGTTGCGAAATGAAAAAAATAAAGGAGAATCCGTAAGTTTGAATAGTTTCAGACATCTCGGATAGGAATAGTCCAAGTACTATACCCTATGAAATATTATTATATCGAAGATGTCCACTAACACGCTATACTCGCAGCTGTGTATACGTTACAGCTATCAAAGGGGTAATAAGACGGCAATAATTACCGAAAACTTGAGTGCAGTTTCAGAAGGGCAGTATTGACGCTAACAGCATAGAGAGTTTCCAGACAGATGCCTATCTAGCTCCAGTAAGCTCTAGAGCACTATAGTTTTTGATAATGATTATTGCACAGCTAAATTACTCGACTCGCGTAATTAATATCTCGCATAAATACTGTTTCCCAACTATTCCAGATTATCTACAATCAACAACATGTTTTTAAACTTAATTAGAAAAGAGATAAGAAATCGCAATAAAACAGCGACTATACTTAAGAGACAAGAAATCGCAATACAAACGTGTTAAAAAATGAAGTATTTTATTTTATACTTGAGATTATCGAAATACAATATTTTAATTACTGAAATTTCACTTCCTATCTGAAATACTATTTTATTAACACTGTGCCGTCCGGTGGTACCACTTTGGTGCCATTTTAAAAAACTGAGATAACGTTTGAACTATATTTCTTGGGTGTTAAAGGGCAGCAAGCTAACTATAGCATTGTGCTTATTTAACTAAGAATTAAGTACGAAAATTCTTGGATGACATATCTTAATTTTAGGAATTTATATTACCGCCATCTTCGAAATATTTTTTTAAAATCTAAAATTTCCAAGCTATTATGCTGGCGTCAAACAGAAGAATCATATCTAAGATCTGCGGACGGTATAGTGTTAAAATTGCGAAGAATCTATTATTTAAGGCAGCATTGAATTATTTTGCCCTCAAATATTACCCAGCACCGGCTGTATTATGTGTTTGCAACTTGATATCTGTAAAGCTAAATGAACACACAGTGATCTCGATTGCATCATAAACAGAAAAAGCAAGAACCACACACCTATACGTCCGGATACTTGATCATGCTATTGTACACACCTGCCCCGATTTTATTTTGCATCAGCCAGAAGAGTTTTTGATTGCGTCGCGTACCTTGGCAGACCGAGGCCGCGTCCGTATCATCGTCAGCGTCGCTAATCAATCTTCTTACATCGCAGGTTGCGCGGCTGGAAGCAGAATGGCACCGCGGAGAAACTGGAAACGCTGTCAACGTAGCCGACAAAAACGACCATCGTCTTGGTACGTGGCTCGCCGAGAAGCAGACGCGGCCCGGTGACTCCGCCGGAGCCAAAAGAAAAGAAACGGTGCACGTACGCGGCAGAAGAAGTGGCGTTGCCCATTTATCGGGACGATTTACCGTCCACCCATCCCTCCGTGCTCGCCCACCGCCAGGACCCCCTCTGGCCACCCCGACTATCCGTGAATTCGAACGGTTATATCACCGGAATTTCATTTCTGTCCGACCGCGGAACATTACCGTCCGTTCGTTCTGTCGCACGAGTTGTGAGAGATTTTCCTGCCCTCATAATTCCCTCTCCGCCGTTCCCCACCCTTCTCCTTCATGGACCACCACGGATTCCGCGGAACGACGTACTCAATAGCCGCCAAAAGACCACTCGTATATTTGTCGAAAATACCAAACGCGCAAGATGTCCCGAGGTAATCCTTGCATCGTTTTCTTGTACATTCGATTCGGTTGATTTCTATCGCGACGCTGCACGGGTCCCGCGATGTCTCTGCGAGCCACCGACCCTCCTCTATCTGCGAAATGCGATCATCGGAGGTCTTTGGTGTCCGCCGGTGTTCGTAACCTTGGAACCTGGATCGCTGTTATCGTCCGCCACGATTATTCGAGCCTTGCGGCTCGTTTTTATAGTTGTTGACAATCGATAACCATAAAAAATGTGCCACAAGGCTCGCACAATCGTATCTCTTCTTCCCAAATTGTCCATTTTTGTGGACAATCTGAGCGTCAGTAAGGGAGGCATTACTGTATTTACTTTGTTTCGTTTGTCGTCGACAGATGCATGTTTCACTTTTTTAACGCTCAACCTACCGACGCTTCTTCTGGCACTGAAAGTAACATTTAGGCAAAAGCATCGAACGCGAGCATCGATTCAGCAATTTTCAAACGAAAAATCTGAAGTCGTTCTTTTTAACCAGCTCAGCAAGTTTACTTATCGCGGACACGTTTAACTGCCCAGAATTGATTAACGAAACTGAGACTACAAAGTTACAGATCGTAGTGCATTTTGATTCTTTTACATCCTAAACATCTCGGAAAAATTCAGTTTGCGCGAATATATTGCTATAAAATGTACGCGGCGCTTTTATGTTTCTGGTCTGCTGACTTCTATGAACGGCGAACATTTTAGCATGTTTTTGTGCATATTTCAGAGTATGACAAGATCTTATTACTTTCGCATGACCGTTTTTGATGGTGCTGTTAGTAGACGGTGGATTTTATGCATTTATGTCAAAAATGAGTGTGTCAAATACAAAATATTGAACATATTTAGAAAATCTAATACTGTTGTATTATTTTCAACCGACCGAAATTATTATCAAATAAAATAAATATCTACGTAGCTCCTGTATCTTACAATTGGTATAGATAATTTTATTGTATACAAGCAATCTAATTGTTACAGTCAGACTTAGTTCCATCTACGCGCTGTCGAAAGATGTCTAAGGTCTTGTTCTGGAGTAAGTCTTTTTAATAAGCTTATGGAAAACTCAATTCAGTTAAAACAGTACGAAATTGATAATATCGTGAAGCTCTCAAAAACAGCAACACCATCGATCAAGTAGACTCGTCCGTGTAGTCCGAAAATAATGTGTAATTGGACTGTAGGATTACAGTGAGATCATTTGGTATTTCGCTACGACTCTAACCGAATTTATCTTTATGCGAGCCCGTCTTGAATAATGCTTGCGTGCCAGTGTTAATTAAAGGCTCTAACGAATTGAACGTGTTGTACGTGCGATTCAATCTCTATGAAGCAGTTGCAACCGAAGAGTATCATAATTTCCAACGTCAAGGTAATAAATGAGATCCTCTCAGACTTCAATGAATGAAGTATATCATGAAAGACTGAGCATTGTTTGAATAAGTACCACTATTATTAGAGCGCAATCGCGTTATTATGAAGAGAGTGATCTCACAGCGTTATCTGTCCCATGCTGTTCAGTAATTGATGAAAATTCACTTCGCGCCACTTTTCAACTGTCGCATTACCGTTGATCGAGGAACGAAGCTTCCAACCGTCTATTTCAGCTTCCTCCAAATTTAGATGATCCGTCCATTAAGTAGAAAATTAATTATAAATTCAACAGGACCAACCAGACATTACGTTGCATAAGAGAGTATCACGGTATCAGTTGTCCACTGTTCATGGAAATAGTAATGCTATATGAAGAACGACGTCCCCGTCGCCTATCTCCGTTTCCATTTCCGCATTTGATTTGCGAACTGAATTAAAATTGCGTGAAAATGACGTGACACAATTCACAGCGTGACATAGACTCGAATACGATGCATCGCGGCTGAAGAATCAGAAAGTGTACGAGCCTGGGTACATAGCGGATCCTGCCTTAGACGCTGGGATATCCGATGATTGGTTAAGGACGGTATATGCGAGCAGGAATCGGAAATGGATCGGATAGCAGCGGGAACGTTATCCTCTCGCAGAAGCTGAAAGTAATCGCGGGAATAATGAAAAAATATCGAAAGGCATAATCGAAAGCGTCGCTCGTCCTCACGGATTACAAATAAATATGCTGGCCGTAAAACTTCGCGATGGCGTCTATTGTTAGATGCTTCTTAAATTTCAAGTTGTAATACGCGCAACGTGTTCCGTTCGTTCTCCTCCTCTGCAATCGTTTCGTAATCGGGTGCTTACGCGAGCAGTTTACTCCGAATATCTACAAAATACTGAAGAGAATACATTCGGATGTCAGTTTGCAACCGGCGGAGTTCAGAGATACCGAAACCGCCGGTGGTAGGAACCTTCCTCGCTAATAGCAAAAGCCTCGTAATGATAACAGCCGTAAACAGCAACTTTTGGAACTGTTTCAAGCTCTCATTAGCGAACATGTTGTATTAACAACATATTCATCGGTCGCACGTACCGTGATCTGTACACGGAATTGTTCTTAATTATTTAATCGATGCCGTATCACAGTTTTGAGGTAGGCATTTCGCCGAAAAATGTGCCGCACGGGAGGCTGTTACACGTTTCTTCTACGGTATGTTTGCCATAATTTGCGATATTTCGAGATCGAAATTACCGTTCGCGATGCTTACGATTACGGCCACTCGAAGCTTCAAGCTTCGGAACATCGTGGAATATATTTGAACGGCCAGGACAGTCGGCCATTCTCGAGAGAAACGAGCTTCGCTCGTCGAGGATTCGTCCCACGCGCAGTTAAAGATAACAAGTACCGCAAATATAATTATCCTAGAAGCCATTTTGGAACTATTAAAACAACGTTGCGTAGTTCTTGAAAGAAGACCGCCACCGCCGCGGCCCTTAATTACTCCTTTCGCTACGGATTAAATATTTTTCGCTTTACCATCGTCGTTCTCCTCAATTAACTGGAGCACTCTCGCTTTGAAACGAAATTGAAATTCCATTTCGATTTTATTTGAAAATAAAATCTGACTATGAGAAAGATTTTATTTGATTTCCAATTGTGGAAACGAATCGGAAAGGTCACGGAGAAAATTTAAACCAAGAGATAATTTTAGATACTTTTTGCAGACCGAGAGGAATCTATTTTCGAAATTTAGATATTCGAACTTTGGTATATCCACGATTATTCTGACGGAGACTGGTTATTCGCGTAGCACATATTCGTACAAATTGCACGTTAATGCTACAATAACGTGACTTAATTCTATTCGTACATAATTATCGTACAGGTATTAAAGTGCATAATACGTGCACGGTATTTCAGCTAAATCAAATTAGCTAATTTATCTTCTTCGTTCTATTCATCCACTATAATAGCATGACTATCAAGTGACCTTAATTTCTGAAACTTATGAATTACCTTGGAACTTACCTCGGATGAGATTTCAGGTTTCAGAAACACTTGTAGCATTACAGTTAGAAAAGATAATTAGGTGACCCAATTTAGATTGGAGCACTCCGTATATTATACAGTCCATCCCATCGAATAACGTGCGAATGTTTAATTTATTTTCTCGTCTATCTTCGTCTTCTTAAAGTATTATTAATTAAATAAAGTACATATTATTAATAAGTACAAGTGCATATTAATTAAACATTTGATATAAGTTCGACTTTATTTTCCTTGTTAATGTATAAACTTTCTCGGATGAATTTTTCTCAATATTTTCTTTCACCGAATTTTCATTTTATTGATATTTTCTGCAACGTTCCATTAAACTTTGCGGAAATTCGAAGGCTCCGCAAATATTGGGATTAATGACTATAACGACACTTTCCAATTCTTTGGCTAATTCTAGAGTTTAGCAACGACCTCGCTTGACTGCGCAAATTTAGATCCCGTATATTGCTGTCGCGTGTTAACAAATACCGCGCGAATAGCGTTATAATTTACCGGGTGAAAAAGTGTCGCGCTACGTCACTGTTTTTCAGTGGTCACGTTAGACAAATTCGACGGCTCCGATCGTCGACGATCTTCATCGCATTAGTCAACCCATTAACGACTAACCGTAATCTAGCCGCGCACCTCGTCGTATTACCGGTAACTGGACCACAACAGAGGCTGTCGATGCATTGTCAAATAGTATATCCTAGATGAAGCTGCTGGTCCCGTTTGCTTTCAGCAATCAAGATCGCCGCTACTTTTCGATCCCCTCCACTCGGTATCGCTCGGAACCGTCGACGTATTGGCCGGGCTTATCGCAGTGACTAATTAATTGGGGAGGATGGACGTAGCGAAAACGGGGCGCGGGGAGAGGGGCGCGATATGAGTAAAGCGTCCATGTTAATCAACGAGCGATGGTTAATCGACGTGCCTACGGGCGAGCTCGCGACTGTTTACCTACGTACTGTAAAATCGGCTTGACCAAATATTTTTTGGATAATATGAACGCGTCAAGGGGGACACGCGCCGATAAGTATGTTGCTTTATTAGACTGCGATTACACCGGCTGCGTCCTCCGGTGAATTAAAACACTGATAGCCGCTGCCGTGCTATGTAGTAGGTTCTTTTCTAGAAAAAATAAAAACGCATTGAACGGCATTTTCGATATAGTGATATGAAAGCTTAAATAGGGTTGGGTAGCAAATATTCGGGGCTGGAAATAGCTTGTTTAGATTTTATCGGAAATTTAATCTCGGCATGTGAAACTGCAATAAAAATCGTGTAAACAGACTTCACAGTGTGAATTTTGTTTTATCAATTAATAAAATTATGGAGATTACATGAAATGATGGAATTATCTTGATCAAATGCATAATTCTAATAAAACTTGCAGAATATGTAAATT